ACACACACACACACACACACACACACACACACACACACACACACACAATAATGCGATCACAGTTGGGGAGTCTGGGTTGTGATGTGACGTTTCCCTGTCTGTCTGGTTCAGGTCCCAGGCCCCGCCGGCTAGCGCCTCCCCTCGCACTCCTCGACCTCAGCCCCATCCCTCTCTCTCTCTCTCTCTCTCCCCTCCGAAGTAGTCACCCTTCAACTCTCGACCTGCCCACCCCCCTCCCTGTCGGTCCTGGCCGGACTGCAGATTTGATGTGGCAGTTTGGGAATAGAAAGGTACAAAATTTGAAGGAAGGGGAGGAGGAGGAAAACAGACCGTGTAGGGAAAAGGCAGAAGAAAGGATTCGCACTCTCAATAAGACGAGAGATGGAAAAGGAAAGAAAGGAAAGATGGATAGTAACAGAGAGGGAGAGCGGGGAGGCACCGACGGCAACCCTCTCCTCTCCCAGCAGCGCTCACAGAGGGTGACAGTGAGGCGAACAGACAGAACGCCACCCAAAGTCACCAACGCTTCCACATATCAGACACACACGGGGGCCGCGGTAGGGTGCGTCTGTCTGTCTGTCTGGGAACCCAGGAAACACTCCGTCGGCAGGGTCACCGATTGTATCAAAAAACACACCAGCGTCCTTCTGCTCTCACATTTGTCTTTGTGCGTCTCTCTCTCTGTGTACAACAGGATAACAGGAGACGTGCAAGGTCACGGCGGACTTCGAACGTGGCTACGGTGGTTGAGACGGGCGAGCCCAAACGTACCGAGCGTTTTCTGCGGAAGCAAAAACCTTTGCAGGGAAACGGTCGGATGTCCCATCCCCCGCACTGTGCCGCTGTCCAAGGTGCTGAAATCAGACTGAGCAGCTTTGAAAGGGCATTTAGGGCACCAGTAGAAAACTGTAATATCTCTCTGGCTGACTCGGGGAGATCACAGTCGTATCTACATCTGAGGCCAGAGGGTGTTTTAGAATTGGGGGAGGGAGGTTACACAAGTTAGCCGTCATCTCTTGGGCAGAATTACCAGACATATTACATATTAGCAGGCCGAGTTGAAAAAAACTAGAGAGACATAGCAGATGCCTACTATGGTGATGCTGATATGCTTGTACAGTACTTAACAGGAAAAATTCACAAGTTTTTATTATTCATCATTTTTCATCATAATTAAAACATTGTACTCGCCAAGTCAATTTCTGAGGTCTGGGAACGCAGTAACATCGCTGCAGTCCAACAGAGCAAGCGAGACAGGCAGGCAGACAGTAGTACAGGCTTTAAAGGGGACATGTCATGCTCCTTTTGGGGTTCATACTTGCATTTTGGATTTCTACAAGAACATGTTTACATGCTTTAATGTTCAATGAACACATTATTTTCCCACACTGTCTGTCTGAATATACCTGCGTCACCCTCGGTCTAAAACGCTCTGTTTTCAGCACCTGTCTAACCATGCTTAACCAGCCCAGCAATGACTTTAAAGGGTTTAATATTATTCTAACTGATGGAACCTACCTCAACAACAGTAAGACCCACGTCATAAACCAGAATGATCCTTTAAGTAATAATGTTGATCTTTTTCTCATATATACAGGAGCTTGCCGTCACCATCTCAATCAGACTATATAAAAACAAATGTTCAATTTAGTTTCTGTCTGCAGTGAAACAATGGAAACGGGGACATTTGGGGCTAAAGCCTTTGTTTTTTGGCTCAGTAAATGCTATTGCACCTAAGGCCTCCTTGTAGTTCAGACACACTTCAGGGGTTCAGTTCAGTCCACCAGGGGACATTTCACGCCGACTTATTCTCCACACACTGCACTGTGTTTAATGTACCAGTGGAGATCTGCTCAGCTTGAAAGAGCGAGGAAGACTGTGAGGCACCAAATGAGTGTTTTCTGGACCACCTCTTGTCCCGAGTAGAGTCCAAGCCCAACAGGAGGCTCGTCAGGACTACTTCTCATATACCTCTCATCTGATCTACTTCACATTAGATTGGTGTGTCGCTGGGGACCCTGCGGAGTGCTTTGTCAAATTTGTTGCAATTTAGACACATTCAATATAAATAAACTTTGAATAAACAAGCACACAGAACTCTGGGGGCGGAGCTTCAGGGCTCTGTGGACATAGAGCATGTCGTCCACAGCTGGGCTCATTGACTTGCAGTTCACTTTTGACTCATCTTGTCTAGTCTAGTGTGACTTCTGCATCTATGACTTAAATATCTTGTCTGGTGTTTAGTGTGAAAACTAAATGTCCACATTATGTAAGAGATGCTGCTGGGGGGGGGGGGCCTCAGCATGAGGACGGAGTATGGCGAGACAGACTGGAGCAGCTATCAGTTTGACGGTTGAACTTTATCGTCACAGAGGCATCGTAGGACGGACACACTCTCTCACACACACACACACACACACACACACACACACACACACACACACAC